ATTCCATTTTGAAATGATAAATTATGATACATCAACATCATGAAATAGTATGTAGCCATTAAAATTGTTGATCTATGTTTTTCAAAGAGTAAATTGTAAGTATGTTACCTTTTTCTGTCTACATTTTCTTGTTATTTAAAAAATAATAATCTCTGTTTTTCAGGAACTTACCAAGCTTGAAAAACTTTAAGAACTTAAAACTAAAAGTAATACAAGAAACAAAAAAGGTTGTCAGCGAAAAGAATAATGTACAACTGAAATTTCACAATGTTATAAACTATTATGACCACAATGAAAAAAAGGTGAAAAGGTTGTCAGTGAAAGACATGTAAGATATAATTATGTTACAGATATTTCATACGTTATAATTAGTCATGGGTTAAATTCAAATACAGGAAATGCATCAAAGTTTTATGTTGCATTAATGTTACAGCTCCTATCAGTCTGGACGTCCTGGTACTGGTAGAAAAAGAAGGTTTACAGTAGATTTCATTGGCTGAAGTGGGAGTTGCCTGATTTATGACCTTGTTCTACAGGAGTCACTTTCTTCATTTTCAGTATTCTCAAGTTTTAGGCTTTTATCTATTGTCCTCAACTTAGCCAATAATTTAAAATTCTTTGGCAAATATTACAAAACCATATGACCATATGAATACATTGCTTGTACCTTGGAAGTGTCCCCAGACAAGTGAGAGGCCCTAAATCATAAGCTCCATCAGCTTCATAGCAAATTGACCTCTGAGTACTACTATTTCTGAGCCTGCCAGTGGGAGCCAGTACAGGACAACGAAGAGCCCAGAGCATAGAATAAGGCTTTAACTGGAGTCTTATCCTTTATTTTCAAATGGGATGTTCCAAAATGCAAAAAGGATTTTATGAGGAAATATTTTCTGCAACCTGTGTATAGAGCAGCTTCTATGAATGTCTTTCTGAATCTTTTCTTTCACAGATTCCCAGAGCTTTAGGAAATTTTTCCCATTAAAAAATAATGTATAGTTAGAGGCTGGCCTGGTGGCGTAGTGGTTAAGTTTGTGCACTCTGCTTCAGTGGCCCAGGGTTCACAGGTTCGGATCCCCGGCACAGCCCTACACACCCCTCATCAAGCCATCCTGTGGCAGCATCCCACATACAAAATAGAGGAAGATTGGCACCAATGTTAGCTCAGGGTGAATCTTCCTCAAGCAAAAAGAGGAAGATTAGCAATGGATGTTAGCTCAGGGCCAATCTTCCTCACACACACACAAAAACATAGTTAATTCACATGTATTTTTTTGTTACTCAAAATGTAATGAGTCAATGTAAATGTCCACCAGTAGGGGATGCTAAATAAACACAATAGATTACACTGTGGAAATATTGTGTAAAATTTCAAGACAGTGAGGTAGATTTTTATGCATTGACACGGAAAGATGTGCAGGATTTATTGTTAAATGAAAAAAGCAAGTTCCAGAACACAGAACATTACATACAATGTGATCCTATTTGTGTTAAACACACACACGCACACCCCAAATCTGGACAGATACCTTTCAAATTGACAAGAGCGGCTCCCTCTGGGTGGAGTTGGATGGAAAGCAAGAAAATTTGACTTATTTGTATTGAATACAGTTTTTAAGAACAAGAGTGAATTCCTGTATTACTTGTTTGATTGAAAATAAATTTTAGAAAAGAAATGTAATGAACTAAAAATGGCTGTTGGCCTTTAGCATTGAATATCTTAAATGTTTGCCTGCTGTTTCAGTTTAACCTATGTCATAGTATAACGGCTTACATTTGTGTTCTGCTTTATGGTAAATAAAGCTTTGACCTGCCTCCTTTGTTTTTTTTCCTTATAACAACTGGATGGGATAGATAGGATTGGTGACATCTCTGTTTTACTGTTGAAAATACAGTCTCAGAGTTCGTTCATAGTAAAATTATGAATACTCTGCTCTATTGGTTTCTATTCATGCTATTGCTGTATTTACTTAGCACCTACTTTATAATTTAATTGACTCTTTCAGATGAGACACTAAAATTAATCTTTCCACAGACTGTTGCTTTCCACAGCCAAGTGTGTACTACCACTTCAAAGCAATTTGTTTCTCAAACTGCTTGCCAAATAGATAAAATTCCATCATCGGTGAAGTCCTTGCTTCTTCCCTTTCAACTTGCTCTCCATCTTCCTAATCTTTATTTCTTTCTAGATATGGCCCTGTTTTTCTTTGGCATCGTTTGCTCTCACTTGTCTTATTTCTTTCCTCAGTATAGATGCATAATAACTTAAAATGTTGCTTTCCCAAGGGGCATGTGCTTTTAAATTAGGATCTCTTGAAGAGCAGCAGCCTCCAAATTCAAACAAATGAGGGTGTCGGACTCGATGATCTGACACTCAGCTCTAACGCCCTTGATTCAATGTATCTATCACTAATGACATTTCCAGGGCCTTTCACAGACCTGAGAATAAAATTATTTCTGTCCAGAAATACTTTCCAAGGGCCCCCTCAAATGACCTGGCATAGCACCTGCTTTTTTGGCTTATCTCTAAGACCAGCTGTGCACAAATAGAAGGAAAAAGAACATTTTTTAGACATTCTGAGTTTATCACTGCTCTCTGATTCTGTGTCAGAGTAGTCTAATGAACTAAGGAGTTGGGAGTCTGAAGAACTGAGCTCTAATCAAGATCCAGTATGAATTTTGTGATTGTGGACAAGTAACTGCATATCCCTATATGTCACGGAAGGCTGAGTGTTGTAGTGGAAAGAAAAGGGCTTTGGCCAGGTTCACTGTTTATTCATACCATTCATTTTTAATAACAAAAACAAAAACAAATAGGAATTCCATCCCAGGCACTATGCCAGGGTCCAGAGAGACAGTGGTGAACAAGACGGGGTTCTCTGGGGCCGGCCCAGTGGCGCAGCAGTTAAGTTCGCATGTTTGGCTTCTCACGGCCAGGGGTTTGAGGGCCCGAATCCCCGGGTGCGGACACGGTACCAGTTGGCACACCTTGCTGTCGCAGGTGTCCCACATATAAAGTAGAGGAAGATGGACACGGACGTGAGCTCATGGCCAGGCTTCCTCAGCAAAAAAGAGGAGGACTGGCAGCAGTTAGCTCAGGGCTAATCTTCCTCAAAAAAAAAAAAAACATCAAAAAACGATGGGCTTCTCTGCCCTCATGGAGTACTATTTGCTGATTTCGAGCATCGTTTCACCTCTTGTGTTCACTTTCCCAGGTGTGAAAGTGTTGAGAATAATACCTTCACCGTATTCCGCAAGAATTACTGTTCTCATGATCCACTGTTCTAACGTGCAGAGTTGGATTCCTTGGATGTGCTGAGTGGAAAAAAAGATTGAAAACTGCTTATTTAATTCAAGTTCTTCATTTGTAGGTGACAGAGTAGGACTCAGAATGGTTAATTGACCACCCCAGTGTTATTTTTACTTACCACACACAGTGCAGTTTCTTCACAACCCTCAGGAACTTTTCCCAACCTCTGGGGTCCTTCCTTTACCCTGCTCCCTGGCCTGTGTGCTCCAGGCCATCTCGAGTACTCAGTGTGAAGTGAGAGCAAACTGAACTGATTCATTACACATTCATTTTGCTTAGGCTGGGTTCTTCCTTGGCAGTCCTTGTGTGCCATTTCCCATCTTGAAATCTCACCATCCAGTAACTCCCAAGTGTCACCTCCTTCTTAAGGTCATGGCCCCGAAAATTGATGAAGCCTGTCCCTGGGAATCTCATAGCACTTTGTACCTTAGCTTATTATCATGGTCCTTAATCTGTTCGAGGTATCCTTTCACCCTAGATTTTAAACCATATCCTGTTGCCTTTTTCATTCCCTTGGTGTTTTGGGCAATGCTTTATAACAGAGCTCATAAATAATCTTTGATAGAATTGAATTCTTAAATCAGCTGACTGGCAATATGATAGCAATTATACCTGACTAGTTTACCATAGAATGTTGTGGTAATAAAATGAGGCAATAAACGTGAGGGCAAATTTTGATGATTTTCGAGGAGGATGACTAAGTGCAAAGCAGTCTGGGAGCTGATTCCATACGTTTGAAATAGCTGGAAAACTATTACCACTTTTTTTCTTTTTCTTTTTTTGTTTTGCCTGGGGACTCCCAATGTTGGAGGATATAACCATTGTTTCCAGCTTTCTGAAAGGCTGTCAAGTGGAAAACATTCTATACGGCTCAGGTGGCATAACTAACTACCAGCAATGGAACGAAGTAAAAGGGAAGGAGACCTCAGTTCAGCAGCAGGCAGAACCTTCTAACATTTGGAACTGTCCAACAGTGGAGCAGGCGGCCTTACTTAAGGTAGTGAGCTTCCTGAAATTTGAACTGTTGAAATAGAAGTTGGATGACCATCTGGCTGGAATGTGCAAGAGGGAATTCCAGCCCGGGCCGGAGTTGGATTAATGACCTTTAAGGTGTCTTCCAATTCTAAGATTTCTATGACTGTTCAGCTCGGTTAACTTAACATTTGAATATATCTGAACTGTTTTAGTAAAACAGTTTTTTATTACGGAAATTGTCAATCGACTTAAAACTGTATGGTCAAGTTGACAATAAGCAAAATTTGATAAACTGAGGAGTGAGAGATCAGGTTTAAAACCGAAAACCCAGGTACCACTAAAGGCAATTAGCGCCACTAACAGAGCGGGAGAGGAGGGGCGTGTGTGTGATTCGAACGACTTGTTCTTTGCAAGTGACAGTTGTTATCGAAAACGTAAATGCTCTGAATTGTTTTCCTTTACACACACTTGCTCAGGCGTGTTTCTCACATCCATCGGTACTGTACACGGGAGCAAGGGCCCGTGTTGGGTGAAGAGCAGTTTTCCAGAAAGAGCTTCCCGGTTCCGAAGACATACACGGCCGCTCAAGACCGCCGCCGACCGGGTGGCTGAAGCGGAAGAGGAGCCACCAGCCGCCCCGGCCGAACTACTGGTCCCAGGGGGCCCCGCGGCCCCGCGCACGCGCGATGGCGTGGCGGCAGCGCCGCCGCAGGACGCAGGGAAGCCAGCTAGTGAGTGGCGGCGGCGGCGGCGGCAGCGGCGGTGGCAGTTCTTGGCGAGGGCGACGGCTCCGAGGCCGAGTGGCAGTCCGGCGGGGACCTCGGTGCCCTCCACCGCCTGATCCTCTTGGTGAGTGCGCGGCTCTGGTTCACCCGCGGGGAGTGCGCGGCTTCCTGCCTGGCGGCGGGGCTGCTCCGGCCTAAGGCCGCAGCCTGCGCCTGACGGCCGGGCCGCCCGGTCCAGCTGACCCCTGGGCCCTGGCCCTTCCCTCCAGTGTCGGGAGGAGTGAGGGTGGGGGGAGGGGACACGCTTAGGCCCAGGGGAGAGAAGTGACGGCGCGCACGGGCCGGGGCGGCCTGGGGCGGACGCGAGGGAGGGACGCGTGGGGGATGGGGTGGGAAGGGACTGGAGTACCGCGGGGCGGCTTCTGGTGGGAGCCAGAACCCAGCGACCCGGCAGGTGGGGAACTGAGGATAGGAGGTGGACTGTCTTCTGAGTGCCGCTGGTGAAGGTGGCGTGCTTCGGGGGCTCTTGACAAGCTGGACTCACGGGTCTGGGGGGGCAGCCCACTTACCATAAACACACACTATACTTGGCATCTTTCCACTTGCTGTTGGAGGTCTGGAAGCGAGGGACTGTTGGTTGCTTTCGTCTCCCTTCCTTCAACTTCACCTCTTATTGATTGGCAAAATCAAATGGGTTCTGGCTAGGCAAACCATGGAAATAAACAGGGTTCTGAGTGCAAATCTGCATAAAAACGCGAGGCATGATGATATATTCGGATGAGAGGTAGGTCAAAGGAGGAACTAGTGTTTTATTTTAAAATTTGTGACAAAAATCAGTTTGATCAAGGCTTTGAACTAGAAAGAGTTTTTAACCTGGGATTTACTAGTTGCTGGCTACATTTCAGGGGGTTCTTGAGCTAGAAAGAGTTTTTAACCTGGGATTTACTAGTTGCTGGCTACAATTCAGGGGGTTCTTGAACTAGAATGGGGATAAAATTGCATCTTTATTTTTATTATCTATCTATAATTTATCATTTTCTTCCATTATGAATGCAAACCACAGTAGAATTAGCAATGCCTGTGACTTTGTCACCATTAAAAATTACAGATATTTTTGTATCATGTGTACAGTTGTTGCAGGTATCTCAAAATAGCACGCTTATCATTTCTTTGAATTTATGGTGTATTTAGACCCACTGTTAGATCATATTTAATGTGATGATAAAGCTGCACATATATTACCATATTAGGTTTTAAAAATTGTTTTGCTAATGGTTTAGTATAATTGGTTTCCTTTGTAATCTCTTGTATGAAATTATGCATTTAAAAGCAATCTGCGAAGGGGTCTATAGGCTTCACGGCCTACCAGAGAGGTCCATGGCACAAGGATTCAGAACTCCTGAAGGAGAAATAAGTTTTTTTGGATCTGTAAGTCTGCCTGGCAGAATAGTTGGATCATTAGATAAGGAAGAAGGCAAGGGAGACAGGATGATAGTGTAGATGAAAGAGGGAATTTTGTAATTAGGGAAGAAAAAGAAAAGGTTTGGTTGGGATCAGTATAATAGATTTGAAAGCTAAACTAGACCACAGATATTTTGTTCAGGGTGCTAGGGAATTAGCAAAATAATCTGAGGAGGAAAGGAAAGTGAATGCTTTGGCCCTTAGATTTCTGTATTAAGGCACCGCCTGGTTCCAAGTGATTGAAGCTCTCCAAGCCCTTTTGTAAGCCTGTGAAAGGAAATTTTAGTGTGTGCTGCTTTTCTGTAAATCATGTAGGTAGTATGGCTTTTAAAGAGGGAGGTGTTCTAATTTTTTTATCTTTAAATGCAAAACAGCAGGATCTCTCTTCAAATACATTTTCCTATTGCTATTATAATTCTTTTCATATATGATATAATGTAAATGGGCAGGTTGTAGAGTTGGTAAGTCATTTTCTTGAAATTCAATTTTGTTTGTTTTTATTTTTTTGTTTGGGGTTTTTTTTTTTTTTGAGGAAGATTAGCCCTGAGCTAACATCGATCACCAATCTTCCTCTTTTTGCTGAGGAAGATTGGCCCTGAGTGATCAGCTGTGCCCATCCTCCTCTATGTTATATGTGGGACGCCTGCTGCAGCATGGCTTGATAAGTCGTGCGTAGGTCCCCGCCCAGGATCCGAACTGGCAAACCCTGGGCTGCTGAAGTGGAGCGTGCGAACTTAACTGCTGCACCACCGGGCCAGCCTCGAAATTCCATTTTAAATTCTTGCAGTTCAGCATCATTTTGACATCAGACTTCTCACTGACAAATCACTGTTAACATTTTTTCAGAATAGGTGTGACTTGGAATTTGCACCTGTTTGTGAAGCACCTTGTCAGCGTCTTGTGTCAGGTTTTTTTCCTCTAAAATAATAGCAATAATGGAAAACCACTGCAGCAAACTTTTTCTGGAAAAAATAAAGAGGGGTAGGGTATGGAAAGGTGAAGAAGAGTATTTTATGAAGCAGGTGTTGGTGCTGAACTAGTTTGTGTTGAATTGAACACACCATATTACAAATCACTGCCTTGAAGAGGTCTTGCCTGGTACTTTTTGTGTCCTTACACTGCCCTCTTTATCATTTTATGTCCCCTGTCCCTTTGTTTTCTTTATAGCATGTATCTATATGATATCATATTAGTTGTATATTTATATAGTTATTTTAATCTTTGTCTCCCCACTAGAATGTCAGCTCTGTGAGAATAGGGACTTTGTCTTCACTGTGCTGGAGAAGTGGCAGGCTCAAAATGGGTACTCAGTAAATATTTGCTGAACAAGTAAATGAATGAGTTAATTTGTAAGAGTGAGGGTTTTTATTTCTAGGAATAAAACTCATCCATTTAAAAAAATCTTGCAAATGGCATTATATATGCTGAGTTGAATTTGAACCTTTGCATCTTATTTTTTTAAAAGTCAGGAAATTGTTTCCCGAACACTCTGTGGTGCTTTTGTGGGCATTTGGTTCATATGAGGACTGGCCATTCTTAGTACACGCTGCCAGGTAGTTTTGATTGTCCTTAACTTTTTATAATGATTTAATAAAAGGAAGGGTCCTAGGTGAAGTTCTTATTTTGCTAAGGCCCTTTTACTGTGTCATCTTAGGTTGGTATAAATGACATCAAGTTTATCACATCCAATTGATAAAAAATTGTCTGACAGTATCTAATATTAGCGAAGGTGTGGTTGGAAATGATAATTTAGAAACTGCTGGTGGAGTTTAACTTGGTACAGCTGCCTTGAGAGAGAATATTTGCCATACTTAAAGCTGAAAATGGGCGTACCCTACCCCATAATTTCACAACTTCTAGAAGAATGGGAGGTGGTGGCAAAGGGAATGCTATCTGTAATCTTTTTTTAAAGACTGGAAGCAACTATGATAGTCTTAACAGGTAATTTTGGGAGGCAGAATACAAATGCTCAGTCATTCTTTGCACCTCTCCCCATTTTCTGTTGATTTTGTTTTTTCGGATCCATAACTTTTATGTATTTCCTAACTCTGAAAAATTGTATGAACCTACAGAAGAGTTGGCAGGAGTAGTACAATAAATGCCCATCTCCTCTTACCTAGATTTGATAGTTGTTAACATTTTCTGTGTTTGCTTTATGTACAAGTAGACATTTTTTGCTGAACTATTTGCTAGTTAAGTATAGATACCATCAGGACGCTTTACCTCCAAATACTTCAGCATTTATTTCCCAAGAACAAAGACTTTTTTCTGTGTATCTGCAGTTGAGTTGTCCCCCTCAAGGCATTTAATGTGAATGTGTTATTATTATTTAATGTACATATCCAAATTTCCCCAGTTGTCCCAATACTGTTTTTTTTTTTAAGATTTTATTTTTCCTTTTTCTCCGCAAAGCCCCCAGTACATAGTTGTGCATTTTTAGTTGTGGGTCCTTCCAGTTGTGGCACGTGGGACACCGCCTCAACATGGCCTGATGAGCGGTGCCATGTCCACGCCCAGGATTCGAACCCGTGAAACCCTGGGCCGCTGAAGCAGAGCACGTGAACTTAACCAGTCGGCCACGGGGCCGGCCCCCCAATACTGATCTTAGTTTTTTGGTTTTGACCCAAGATTCAGTTAAGGATCTTGCATCGCATTTAGTTGCTTGCTTGAATCTAGAATGGTTTTCCAGCCTTTGTTTGGTCTCTCACGATGCTAAGCAACCAGACCAGTTGTTTTGTAGTATGCCCCTCAGTTTGGGTTTGTCTGAATGTTTCTTCATGATCAGATTAAACGTTTTTGGATGGAATGGTAAGTAGGTCATTTTAGGTCTCTCTCAACGTATCATATCAGAGACACGAGATGTCATTTTCATTATTGATGTAAGTTTGATCATTTGAATGAGGTAATGTCTACTAGATTTATACTGTAAAGGCACCCTTTTTCCTTTATAATTCATAAATAATCTGTGGAGTGATAATTTTTTAAAACTTCCTCAAGGTCATAAGTTGTTAATACAGGTACCAGTATAAAGGGTCAAGAAAATTTAGATTGGAGATACTGCTGCTAAATGGGAGAGTGGGAGATCAAGGAATGCTGTATGGAGGAGGTGGCATTTGAACTGGACCTCAAATCATAGATGTAATTGGCTTTAGGGATATTGGAGAAGGACTCCAGGTGAAGGGAACAACTTGAACAAAGATAAGGGCAGAGCTGGGGCTGGCCCAGTGGCACAGCAGTTCGGATCCCAGGTGCGGACATGGCCCGCTTGTCAAGCCACGCTATGGTAGGCGTCCCACATGTAAAGTAGAGGAAGATGGGCCCAGATGTTAGCTCAGGGCTAATCTTCCTCAAAAAAATAAAAAATAAAAGTAGAGGAATTTGTAAATTGAATAGAAGGACATCCAGGTCTTTCTTTTTTTCCTTTTTTTTTTGGTTAGTGTGTTAGGTCTGTGAAAGGGAAAAATGGGAGAAAAGATTATGGGATGAAAATGGAATGAAGAGGCTGAAAAAAATCTAGGCTACCCGGGTGATAGTACGTGATCATTTGCCTCTAGGTGGATCACTCCTTTCCCAGAGCCCCCGATGAAGTTGCTCACCTGGGAACCCAAAGTCAGTATACTAAAGAAGAACCAGAGAGGCAGCATGGGGAAATGAAGAGAGTAT